AAAGAAGTCAAGAAATAGCAGATGTTGGCAATGCTGCAGAGAAAAGGGCATGCTTATCCGCTGTTCATTCTCCTGTGGAAATCAGTGCATTAGGGTATTCTAGAGGGAGAGAACTAATAGGATAAATGTATATTTAAAGAGAAGTTTATTAAGGAGTAGTGACTCACAAGATGACAAGGTGAGATCCCACAGTTGGCTGTCTGCAAGTTTAGGAGCAAGAAAGCCAGTGTGAATCCCAAAACCTCAGAAGTAGGAAGGCTGACAGTGCGGCCTTCAGTGTGTGGTTGAAGGTTCAACAGTCCCAAAGCTGAAGAACTTGGAGTCCAATATTTGAGGCCAGGAAGCATCCAGTATGAAAGAAAAATGTAGGTTAAAAGGCTGAGCCAGTTTCCTCTTTCCATGTTTTTCTGCCTGCTTTATTTCTGGCCACACTTGCAGCTGATTAGATAGTGTCCACCCAGATTGAGGGAGGGTCTGCTTTTCCCAGTCCACTGATTCACATGTTAATCTCCTTTGGCAACACCCTCACAGATACACCTACGAACAATACCTTTGCATCCTTCAATCCAATCAAGTTGACACTCAATATGAACTATTACAATCAGTTTGGAGATTTTTCAAAGCACTAAGAATAGAACTAGCATTTGATCCAGCAACCCTATTAATGGATATATACCCAAAGTAAAATGCAACCATTCTACCAAAAAGATGCATGCAACCATATGTTCATTGTAACACTATTCTCTAGCAAAAACATAGAATCAATCTGGGATCCCATTGATGGTGGACTGTATAAAGAAAATATGGAATATACACATTTTGGAATGCTATGCTGCCATAAAAACGAAGTCACCTTTTCCAGCACCATGGATGCAACTGGAGGCTGTTATTCTAAGTAAACTAATACAGAAACTGAAAACCATGTATTACTTTTTCACTTATTACTGGGAACTAAATCTTCAGTACACATAGACATAAAGTGTACCCACTGGGTAATCCCAAAGAATGGAGGAATAGAGAGGGGAAGGGCTGAAACACTTTCTATTGGGTACCATGTTCACTATCTAGGTGATAGGATCAATTTAAGCTCAAATGTACCCCCTAAATTTAAAGTCAACTAGAATTTTAAAAATGTATATATATCTCAAAATGTCCCTGATGATGTTTAAATAAATTTTATGTACAATTATGACAATATATGCAAGAGGAAAATAGGGCAAATCAAGAATAAATAAATTATTGGTTTATAAAATAGTCTGGACAATTTTAAGGAAAGTCAAAGTTTAATCATTAAACATTGCCTTCACATGGGTTATTTCTTGGTTTATATACGGTTTACCAATTATTCAAATGTTTATACACATGGTGGCAGATACCTGCGTATTTGGATGCATGATACAGACACTTTTCTGACTCCCCTGGATTGGCAGTGATAACACATTTCGATTTTCTCAGTGAGATTTTGCTAGACGACACCAAAAGACCTATTATTTGAGAGTATGTTAAACCTAAATGTTATGATCCTATTTCTTTGAACAAAAATGGTTGACTCTTGGAATGTATCCTTCTGAACCAAACTGATTTTAATCAAAAGACAGAATTCCTGTATATGTGTATGTGTGCATGTATGTGCAGTTTAGAGATATTAAAATGTTTAAGACAATACTATAATTTATAATTATGTAACATTGGTTTTCTCAAGAAATATAAATTGGAAATTTTGGATTGAGTTCAGAAGACCTATAATTACTCATGTTTCTCTATATACTTTTGTTGTTGTTACAATAAATGTCAACTTTAAAAATCTATTACATTTTTGTGGAAACTTTTATAGTGTTTTGATAATGTCTGTAACAGTTTACAATTTACACACTCAATAGCAGTGTGCAGGGGTTCTCTTTTCTTTACATTCTCACCAACACTTGTTAACTCTGGCCTTTTGTGTAATAGCCATCCTAAACAGGTGTGAGGTAACATTTTATTATGATTTGATTTGCGTTTTCCTAATTATTAGTGATGTTGAACATGTTTTCATATACCTGTTGGCCATGTTTATGTCTTCTTCAGAGGAATGTTAACTTAGGTCCTTTGACCAATTTTTTTAAAAGTTGATTATTTGTTTATTTCTTGCTGTTGAGTTGTATGGGTTCCTTATAAATTCTGGATATTAAACATTGATCAGATATACAATTTGCCAGTACTTTTCTCAATCAGTATGCTCCCTTTTAATTTTGTTGATTGTTTCCTTTGCTGTGCGGAAACTTTTTAATTTGGTGTATTACCACTAGCTTAATTGTGCTTTTATTGCCTGAGCTCTGGTGTGATATCCAAAGAAAGATTGACAAGATCAATAACAAGGAGCTTTTTTCCCTATGTTTTCTTCTAGAAATTTTATGTTATCAAGGCTTATGTTTACATCTTTAATACAGAGTTGACTTTTGTGTACATTGTAAGGTAGCAGTCCAGACATGTCAATATTGCAATATTTTTAGAGATACAAATGAAACTGCCAATTTGCCAATTTGTCATGTCAATTTGGGTATGAGTCAAAAGATCAGCAACAATCCAGAATAGACTGATAAATTCAGAATTTTTTCACAGTTGAATAATATTTAAAATTGTGAAACTGTCAGAATAATATCACTGAGAAAATAAGTTTAGATATAGAGAAAATAAGATAACCAAAAATGAGCCTGGGAACTTCTAATATGGAAGTAGAGGAAAAAAATGAATATTCTAAAACATAAATGGAAAGCAATAAGTAGTAAAATTGACCAGTGAGAAGCTGCTGAGTTTTGTTTAATAAAATAAACTTGGGGGACCAAGATCAGAGTATCAGAATATAATTTACAAAAAAAAAATCATTTCTATCATTTCTTTTAGATTATGGCTTTGTAATTTAGTTTTTAAATAATAAAATTTGTAGGTGATTCCAAATTCATTTCTTCCATTATTTAGAAAGAAGTTTACTTTGACGTCTAAAAGTGTGTAATGTAATGATTATTAGATATTATTTTCATTTGAGCTGAGACATTTGATCCTAACTTCCTCTCCCTAGATAAGTCAGAGTTTGGCTCCATTCTCTGAGCTGATTACTGAGGGCCAGTGAATGGCTCTAATGAATTATAGTGGCAACTCCCCAGTGATTATTGATTTCATTCAAGCTCACTGAACAGAAATAAGTACTTTCTAATTTGTTGTGACATTGAATAGATGTGTTTGTTTATTAGAGGATGTTGTAATGGCAGCATGCCATCTTGTCAGAAGAAAGAGCAACTTTTCTTTTTTGGGACAGAAAGAATATTGAGCAAAGACTGGAAAATTAGAGTTGGCTACAGGAACCCAACAAATGAACATCTATGTAGTTTGAAAATAGGACAGAACAAGAAAATAAAATCCTAGAAGTAGAATGAAATGCCTCTGCTCGAGTTTATTCTCAACTCTGCCACATGAGCTTTGACTTTTTGCAAGTGACCTAACATTTTATTCACAGATTTTTCATCACAGAGATGTGGATGATGACGGAAATGTCAAGGGTCATTTGAGCACACAGTGAAATTGAATGTGAATGTCTCTGAAAAGTTAAAGTGTTACAGAAATAAGAGAAGCCTTAAATTCAGTTTGTTCTGTCTTGTACTGTTAATGGGGCTTGAGTCTGAGTAGCTGTCCCTTTGTCCTTGCTTGCCAGCTCGGTGACGGCTTTGGGTGATCTCTTCTTGGGGTGAAGTGCATGGCAGCCTAAGGTGTCACCCACCCCAGCAGGTATGATTTTGTTAATCCAGCTGACAAATTTCCCAGAAAATAAAAAAAGGCAACTGGTTCCCCAGGAAAAAAAAAAAGAAAAAAGAAAAAAACCCAGAATGTTTGTTTTCATTCCAGAATTTCCACATTATTTGAGTTTTCTGATACTCTGATCTTCTTGGTCCCACAGGTTTACTTTTTTGATCACAACTCAGCAGCTTCTCACTGGTCTATTTTACTACTTATTACTTTCAATTTATACTTTAGGATACCCTTTATTCCCTGCACGTCAGTGCTAGAAGCCCCTGGGCTCATTCTTTGGTCATCTTCTCTACATCTGAACTCATTTTCTCAATGATATTATTCTGTAGTTTCACAGTTTTAAATATTATTCAACTGTCCCAAAGTTCTGAGTTTATTAATCTATTATGGCTTGTTTGTTGAACCCTTGAAACATATCCAAATTGACATGACAAATTGGCAATTTCATTTGTCTAAAAATATTTTAATCTCAACATGTCTGGAACTGAATTTCTCATTTCCCTTCTAATACTACCCTGATAAACACATCTCACGTGATAGTAATTTCATCCTTCACTTGCTCTGTCTCCAAATTTTAAAGTTATATTGTATTTTTGCCTCTCTCTTACACCCAATGTCTTTCCAAAAAACTTTTTCTTTGAATGTATCCAGAATCCACCTTCTTCTTACTGCTTTCAATTCTAGTTCCATAGTGACTGTTAATATTACTTTAGCAGAATTATTGTAAGATATAGTCATAATTCTGAGAAGTATCCCCACTTCAAATTTACCACTCCCCTTTCAGTTTATTCTCAAAGTGGCAGAAGTCATAATTCTTTGGAAACTACCATCAGATAATATAACAGTCATGTATAAAGTTTTTTTACATAGAATAAAAGCCAAAGTCCTCAGAATGGTCTCAGAAGGCCTGCAGGATTTTTGAGGTTTCCTGCCTTACAATTCCATGAATATCCCAGGACTGCTACAGCTTTAGAGCATTTGCAATGGCCACTCCCTCTGCCTGAAATGCTCTTTATGCTGTTATGTAGATAGTGCTCCTCCTCAAACCCTCTCCGTCTTTATGCAATGTCCCCTTTCCCAATGACCTCTTTAAAAATCATAGTTTGTCACCCTATTTGACCTAGTTTTTCTGGTTCCATTTTTCCCATAACTTATACTATACTTACTTGATTACTCGAATTATTATTTAGCCTAATCTTTCTTTGTTAGAATGTAAACTCCATGAGGGACTCAATCACTGCTTTGTTCATTGTTGCGTAGAAGCCCTCTAAAGTGTCTGGCACATAACAGACATTTTACAACGTGTTAAATAATATTTTCTAAAGAAATTTAACTGTTTAGACTGATAAGTTATCTTTTTAGACTGATATGGAAATTGTTTTCTCTAGGTTTTCATATATGTTATATACATAATGCATATACTATACAACTATACACATAATATATATGTAATACATACACGTATGTATTGTGTTCTTTTATCCTAGTACTTTAAAATTGAATTATTTGTTGTGCCACTAACTTGAGTAAATTAAAATTGACCTATGAACAGTGCACATAGTTATTTACAGAATGAAATTCCAATGCGTGCAAACCCATGTCATATCATTTATTGGAAGACTTATTTTAAAAAATAATTAAATAATAGGAAAAATATTTAAAGAAAGAAATAAGTGCTTGTAAAATAGGAGGAAGTAGTGACATCTGGGACTGAAAATAAAGATATAGAGGGAACAATATTATTAAAATAAAACTAGGTTTTCAAAATTAAAGAAAATGATGCAAAATTGTCATATTTAGTTATTATCTGGATATATTTTTTTCCACACAAAAATTTTTTTATACACTTCTGGCAATAAGTTATGGATGGAGAAGTCATTGTAGTTATACCTGAATAGGAATTCATTCAGAAAAAAAAAAAAAAATTCGACCTAATATGGTTAAAAGGAATAATGATGGACTGAGCTTCTATCTTCTTAACACGATCCACGTTATCATCTACTGTTTCCTTTGGTTGCTTTTTTATTTGATTGCCACATTTGAGATTGGTTCTATTCCACTGTGACTACATGGAATCTATATAGATAGAATGAAAATATTGCTTATTCGTCAGAGGATTTATACTAGTTATCTATTGCTGTATGACAAATTACCCCCAAACATAGCAGTTTACAACAACAAATATTTATAGCCTCATGGGTTCTCTGGGTCAGGAATGTGAGAGCAGTGTAGCTTAGCAGTGCTGGCTCAAAAATCTCTTTAAGATTTAGACTAGAATTACAGACTCATCTGAATGCTTGACTGTGGAGTAGATGCTTTCACTTTCATCAATATGGTTGTGAACAGACCTCGGTTCCTCACCGATGTCAGCCAAAGACTTTAATCTCTTGCCACGCAGGCCTCTCCTTGGACTTCCCAAGTGCCATCAGGACAACGTATCTGGCTTTCCCTAGGATGAGTGACCTGGGTGAGGTGGATGGAGAGAACACTCAAGATTTTAAAAGTGATCTTTTTATAACCTAATCTCAAAAGTGACATTACTTATGCCATATTATATTCATAAGAAAAACATCATAAAATCAAGTCACCTCTCAAGTAGAGGTTATTAGACAAAGACATAGATATCAAAAGGTAGGGATCACTAGAGGCCATCTGGGAGGCTGTTGACTGTAGTTCAATCTCTAGTCTCTAATCATCCATGCCCTTTCATATGCAAAATACACATCGGTAGGAAAAACAAATGGTTTTTCCTCTGTTCTCACAACACAACAATCAACACAGAAGACTTCTGTGACTTCTGATCTCCACCAAGAAGTTTGTGGGGGTTTCTACCACCAACAAATAATCACTTCTGCAGAGGATACCAGCTAGATATGCTCTAATTCACCTGACACTATCTACCTGGGGATAGCATCAGTCTCATAATGTCAGAGGCTTTTGAACCAGAGCAACTTCATCTTAAATAGGGACTGGGTAAAATGAGGCTGAGACCTACTGGGTTGGACTTCCAGAATATTATCCTAAGCATTCTAAGTAACAGGATGAGGTAGGAGGTCAGCACAAGATACAGGTCATGAAGACCTTGGTGATAAAACAAATTGCAGTAAAAAACTGGCCAAAACCCACCAAAATTAAGATAGCTACCAGAGTGACTTCTGGTTGACCTCACTGCTACACTCCCACCAGCATCAGAAAGTTACCCTATATGGTCCAAAAAGGGAAAACATGAAAAATCCACCCCTTGTTTAGCATTTCGTCAAGAAATAACCATAAAAATGGGCAACCAACAGCCCTTGGGGCTGCTCTGTCTATAAAGTAGCCATTCTTTTATTCCTTTACTTCATTAGCAAACTTGCTTTCACTTTATGGACTTGCCCCGAATTCTTTCTTGTGCAAGATCCAAGAACCCTTTCTTAGGGTCTGGTTCAGGCCCCTTTCCAGTAACAATAAGACTGTGCCCCATTTCTACTGTGAGTTGCAAACCCCAGGTTGTTTTACCCGTGCCTCTGACCTACTGACTGTAAATTGAGGTTCTCTCAACTCCTTCCTCAGGTTCAATTAATTTGCTAAATTGGCTCACAAAACTTAAACAACCTTTACTAACACTTACTAGTTTGTTGTAAAGGATATTACCAAGGATATAGATGAAGAGATGCATATGGTGACAAATGGGAGATGGGCCACAGAACATTCATGCCATTTTCAGGAACCTCTGAAAGTATTCAGCTATTTTTATGCTCATCTGAACTCTGTCCTTTTGGGTTTTTATGAAGGATTTATTGATTATATCATTGGCCTTTGGTGAGGTTTAACCTTCAAGCTCTGTTCTCTCCCCAGAGATTGGAGTTGAGGCTGAAAGTCCCAATCCTCTAACCCTGCCTTGGTGTTTCCAGTGACCAGACCCCAACCTGAAGCTACCTAGAGGCTGCCATTATCAGTCAACTTATTAGCATACAAAAATATGCTTCTCATTTAGAAAATTCCAAGGATTTCAGGAGTTGTATGCCAGGAAACTGAGACAAAGCTCAAACGTATATTTCACAATATCATAACACTCATCCTCAATAAGGTCTCCCAAAAGGATTATTACAGAATCTACTCAAAATCTTTCCGAACTTTGACCCTGAGAACTATAAAATAATACATTTGTGTTGTTTTAACCCACTAAATTCATGGTAACTTGTTATAGCAGCAACAGAGAATCAATACAATATGTAGAGAAGTAAAATTTGTCCAATTAATAACTGCATATCAGGAGCCAGGAGATGTATTTATTTGCCCTTGCACCAAAATCTCATTTGGTACAGCAACTGTTAATAGGAGTCAGGTACCTGATCAAATTTATAGTAACCCATTGTCATTCTTCAGGATTCATGTATCTTCTACATAGGATAAATTGGTGGGTTAAAGGGAAATGTAGTATTGAAAACTGCAAAAACTCTCATGTAACAACTCCATCCAAATCCCTGCCCTGAGACTTGACCAAACTTGAGTATGGCTACCAGCAGCTTAACGCCATGCCCTTAGACCAACCCCAGGTTTCCTTAAAATGCCTGCCTGAGAAAGTTCAATGCCTCAATGCCTACAGGAGAATTTACTATTTATTACAGTCAAAACCTGATAATAGGTCGATGGGGTCCTCAGGTCCCTCTTAGAGCAATTACTTTAAGAAGGTTGCAGTTATAAATCCTTCCTCTGACCTTTTGAGAGGTTAATTTTCAACCACTCACAACTGTTTCCCCAAGAACTTAGGGGTTGTCTATTTGAAATGCAGACATTCACAGAGACAGCTGTCCCCTCCAGTTTTTATAAAAAGTTAAGGGCCTAATTTGAAGGTTGGCTTGCTTCAACTTCCCCTCTATCATAAAGCTAAGAGAAGAGAAATGCAAAGTGTGTTTCTCCTCTAGATAGGCGCCAATTGGCAAACCCAGATGCCCTGTTCACATGGACCAATCCCTTCCTTAGAGTCCTTCAATGCCTTTCCCTTAGCACGCCTCCTCATTTAACAGTGAGATCTCACCTCAAAAGATACAAATAAAAATGAAACAATATCTCCTGCCTTTCATTTTGGCAAAGATAAGCCCCATTTACATTGGATTTACTTCCCTTCTATAGTAGCTATCACTGAATAAACCGGGTAAACTAGGCTTTTAACTAGTGTCTGACTATTTCTCTTTGATGGTAGAAATCACCACTCTGCCTTTCCCAAGTTTTTATGATGTCATCAGTCTTTACAAATGGGATATTTGCAAATATCCCTAGAAATGGGATATTGTTTTTATTTTAGCTTATTATATCCATGTACAGAGGTAATTCTTGTGGTTTCTACTTGGTCTTTGCAACAAAATAGCTCTTACTTTATAAGTAGGAATCCAGTGTAGAGAGATGTTAACTGTGTCTATTTCAATTACACATCACACATTCTAGAACTGGAGAAATAACCATAGATTTGGTTCAAGGACCTACTGGGATCAGAACTTCCTCAACCACATTACACTATCTTCTGTGTTGGCTATGTTTAACTACAGTGACTAAGTGACTATATAACTTAGTTTCAGTTCAGATCCAGTGTCTGGTTAAATGTCTTGGTATTCCCCCTTCCTCAATTCACTGTCATTCTGCATAATGGCTGCAGTTCTCTTTAGGAAAGGCAAGGAATAATATTAACACTATAAATATTTGGCAGTGAGTGAAGATTCTTCCTCATGAAGCCTGCGAATCACTTGATTGAAGGAGCTCTGGGTCCATGAATTGGTTGAGATAAGGGAGTTGAATGAACGAGGGACCATGGCTCTTGGCTTTGGTTAATCAAGTCAGAATTCTGTTCACTAGACCTAGAGGTGTCCCATTTATACAGATCAAGCAACACTTTAATTTTTTGCCCATCTATTTTACTCTAGAAATACCATAATCAACTAGCAAACACCAAATGTCTCCACAGTTCAGACTATTCTGATTACTGCTTTCATTCTACTGTCTATTACAATAACTATAATCATCCTGTCTGTGATGATTAACTGCTGCCATTTTGCCCCAGCAAACTGGGATTCTGTTATCCTCAATTCATATAGGTATCCCAGTTAAATGGTAGAAGTTCCTACTCTAAATTCTGACCTACAGAGAAGAGTGACCACAGAGCTCTTGAAGGAAGATAAGGATTTTCTCACAAATTTATTTATTATTGTTGTGGCGAAGGATACATTCTCTAGACTCTCACAGAGATAGATTATGTCAAGATAGATAGAAGAGGCAAAAGACCAGCTACAAAGAAGTAAGACAAAGTACTTATTGGAGTCTTAGCAGTTGCAAATTCTGGAGTCATTTGACTTCTAGCCAAATTGTGTTTCAGAGAGAGGAATTTCTAAAAAGGTAATTACAGAATTTGTTTTGAAAAAATTGTTGGTAGAGCTGGGTATGGTGGCTCAGGACTATAATCCCTACAATTTGAGACTAGTCTGGCCAACATAGTGAAACCTCATCTCTACTAAACATACAACAATTATCCAGATGTAGTGGCACATCCCTGTAATCCCAGGTACTCAGGAGGCTGAGGCAAGAGAATCACTTGAACCTGGGAGATGGAGGTTGCAGTGATCTGAGATCGTACCACTGCACTCACTCCAAAGCAAGACTTTGTTTCAAAAAAAAAAAAAAAAAGAATTACTGGTGGAGATGGCTGGCTTAGTATATGAGCCATAGGATTGGTTGTTGCTATTCAAGAGTTGCAGCACTGCTGAAATTTGAAATTCATCTGTTTTCCAGGATGTTGTGGAAGCAGTGGCTTGGCCCAGTTTAGAAGTTCATGTCAAGTTTCTGTTTTGCAAGATTATAAGCCGTGGAGGTAGATCCCAGAACGACTTCCTGGCTTCGTGTTGGAGCTCTGAATCAGAGTGAATTCATTTTGTATATTGTATTTCACAATTAGTGAGTCTCATGTGATAAAACTTTGTCATTGCAATTTCATAAAACTTTGAATACCTTAATTGATCTATATTATAAAAAAGAAGTTTTGACATTTGACTTAATTGAGTATAGGCCCCTGCAAATCCTTACTGCAGTCAACCAACCAAGCAAACTATTTTGAACCATTATTAGCTTCTCAAGCTAAAAGACTAATTCTGGAATTCAACTGTATGTACTTTCAATCTTAATCTCTTTCCCTTATCATGTATTCCCACACACATTCCCCAGGATATGTTGATAAGTATTTGAAAACCATGCACTTATTTTAGTGTGCAGTATAATTCCTCATGGATTCCATATTGTATCTTAGATCTTTTGGGACCCGATGAAAGCTGAATCTGAGGAAGTATCTAGACACCAAGAGGATGGTAGCAAAAGACCTTGAAGAGAAATCAGCAATATCTTGTAAGGCAACTGCTTCACAGGAATAAGTTACAGTTCAAGGGCAGACTATTCTTATCAGCCAAGATGGAAGGGCTGATTCTACAGGCAAATAAGGCCCAGAAAAAATTTGGTTTTCAAGGTCCCCAGCTTCACTGGAATCTGTTCAGATGTCCTCATCCCAAATTTTAGTTTTGGATTTCTTTCTAATTATTTCTCTAGCTTTATTAAAAATTGTGAATTTAATTTGCAGTATTATTCTAGTCTCCAGGACTAGCTATTGAGTTTTCTTCTCAAAATATCACCTCTACTGACACAGAAGATAAGAATTAGCTTCAGGACACTCATAGATGCTTTCAGGCTCCTTGAGTTGAAATCTGCAAGCCCTGACATTAACATTTTATTTCCATAAATTCTCTGGGGCAGAAACAACCAATTAACTTTGGATGGGAGCAGCAGGCTGTCTGGAGTTACTACTGCCATGATGCCAACTACAATGGGGGAGGTGCAGTCAGGGCAGGGCACTCAATGAGCTGGTGGGAGCCCTGCCCTCTTAGGAGTTGTAGGAGCAGAGCCCCACCCTCCCAGGCACAGCTGCAGCTGCCCAGTTGTGGCTGCAGACCCAGGCATCCCTGTTGTCTTGGGGACATGGGAAGCTCCCTGCCCCTGCAGGCTTAGAAGTGCCTGCTCCCACTGCCTGGCCTTTCCCCACTCCTGATGCCTGCTCTGATTTTGGAGCAAAGTTCAGGCTGAGCTCAGGCACTGTCATGACCTGGCTGGGTGTGCACACTCTTGGGGCAATGTTGACACACCACCCTCCTGCCATCTTAGACCCCTCCAGACTTTGGACACCAACAAGCATTGGAGGGAGACTGAGGTGGGGCTAAGGCCAGTTTGATGTGGGTCTGCAGGCACCACTTGGTATGAACAACCTGGACATTGTGGACTGCAGGTTGATGGAGGCAGGAGGCAGACAGGCTCCTGAGCAGAAAGGGTTGGGTTCCCATGAAGCCAGTGAAGCCTGGGGACTGGGCGTTCACCTCCACAGGCTAGAGTGAGAACTTATGGTGCTTTTTCTGGGCCCACCCATGGCCACCTGTTAATCAATCAGCATGTACTTCCTCCCCTCTGAAGTCCATAAAAACCTCAGACTCAGCCAGATTCTGTCTAGATGATGGAACAATCTGCCTGTGGATAGGAGCTACACACTCTGGATCTTCTTTCCAATGAGGGCTTCACAGATGTCAAGATAACGTCCCTGTGGAAGGGACCTAGCCACTTCAGGTATCCTGAGAACTATTAGGCTGTTCAATGAAACTCCTCTCTACCTTGCGCACCCTCTAGTTGTCTGCATACCTCGTTCTTTCTGGATACGGGACAAGCACTCAGGACCTACCAAATGGCAGGACTAAAAGAGCAATAACACAAACAGGTTTAAGACATGCCACCTTCTCCCCCACACTGCTTATCACATTGCAGGTATGGGCAACAAGAAGGAGAGAACTGTAGCCCTTTGAGGATCCCAGATCTAAGCGCTCCCTGAGCCAGGGCTGTGACACTCTCTTCGGGGTTCTGCAGTTCCTGGTGTCACCAAGCTTCTGAATGCCACTGCGTTCCCCTCATTGAGATGCAAGTGCCTGTAGCAGAAGTCACATGCAGTACATTTTGTACACGGCAGCCTTGCACAGAGCTAGCACCTGTGTCAGCATCTCCTGCCTCACTGCAGGTACCAGTGTACCTAACTGTGTGGTGGCTGTTAGGTACTCCATGCTCACTTGCTTACATGTACTTTGCCTCTCCATGCCTGGCTCACACTTGACAAATGTGAGATCCAGTCCAGTAGCATGAGCTGAGCACAGTCTGCTGTTATAACGAGCCCACTGAGCATGACCAATACTTAGTCGGAACTTGCCACCAGCCACAGAGGTTTCTGACTGGTAAAGTGACACGCTAAGGATTTTGTGATGACTCCACATCACTCTTACTTTCCACTTACATGTTCTATGGTAGAGAATATTTATTAGTCCTTTATTATGCTGCTAATAAAGACATACCTAAGACTGGGTAATTTACAGGAAAAGAGGTTTGACTCACAGTTCCACATAGCAGGGAGGCCTCATAATCATGGTGGAAGGTGAGAAGGAACGAAGTCATGTCTTACATGTTGGTAGGCAAAAAAAGCATGTGCAGGGGAACTCTGCTTTATTAAACAATCAGATCTTGTGAGACTTAACACTATCACAAGAACAGCATGGAGAAAACCACCCCCATGGTTCAATCACCCCACTGGGCCCCTCCCATGACACATGGGAATTAGGGGAGCTACAATTCAAGATGAAATTTGGGTGGGGACAAACCCAAATCATATCACTCCAACGTGGCCCCTCCCAAATCTAATGTCTTCACATTTCAGAACCAGTCCTGCTTTCCCAACAGTCCCCCAAAGTCTTAACTCATTTCAGCATTAACTCAAAAGTCTGCAGTACAAAGTCTTACCTGAGAGAAGGCAAGTCCTTTCTGCCCATGAGCCTGTAAACTCAAAATCAAGTTAATTACTTCCCAAATACAATGGACATAAAGACATTGGGCAAATATACACACTCCAAATGGGAGAAATTGGCCAAAACAAAGGGGCTACAGGCCCCACACAAGTGCAAAATCCAATAGGGCAATCATTAAGATGATTTCCTTTAACTACATGTCTCACATCCAGGTCACATTGATGCAAGAGGTAGGCTCCAACAGCCTTGAGCAGCTTTGCACCTGTGACTTTGCAGGGTATGGCTCTCTTCCTGGCTGCTCTCACAGTCTGGCATCTAGTGTCTGTGACTTTTCCAGGCACACAATGCAAAGTGTCAATAGATGTACAATTCTGGGTTTTGAAGGATGATGATCCTCTTCTCATAGCTCCACCAGTGGGGACTCTGTGTGGGCACTCTAACCCCACATTTCTCTTCCATACTGCTTTAATTTCACCCTTTCATACATCCTTTTCATCATGAAAAGATGAAATTTCATCATGAAAAGAACCATCATGGCCATACCCTTGCAGCAAACTTGCCTTGATATCCAGGCCTTTTCATACATCCTCTGAAATCTAGGTGGAGGTTCCTTAACCTCAATTCTTAACTTCTGTGTACCCACAGTTCTAACACCATGTGTAAGCCACCAAGACCTGGAGCTTGTACCATCTGAAGCAACAGCCAGAGATGTACATTGGCCCCATTTAGCCACAGCTGGAGCTGAAACAGCTGAAGCTGCATAGAACAGGGGAACTCTGTACCCAACCCATGAACTCATTTTCTCCTCCTATGCCTTCAGGCCTGTGATGTTCAAAGTTCCACAGATCTATAGAGGAGGGGCAAAGTGCTGCCAGTCTCTTTACTCCAGTTACTGATAAGTTTCTCATCTCCATCTGATGTGGTTTGGCTGTGTCCCCACCGAAATCTCAACTTGAATTGTATCTCCCACAATTCCCACATGTTGCAGGAGGAACCCAGGGGGAGGTAACTGAACCATGGGATCAGTCTTTCCCATGCTATTCTCATGATGGTGAATAAGTATCATAAGATTTGATGGGGTTTATCAGGGGGTTCTTCTTTGCTTCTTCCTCATTTTCTCTTGCCACCAGCATGTAAGAAGTGCCTTTCACCTCCTGCCATGATTCTGAGGTCTCCCCAGCCACGTGAAGCTGTAAGTCAACCTCCTTTTGTTCCCAGTTTCATGTATATCTTTATCAGCATGGTGAAAATGAACTAATATGCCATCTGAGACCAACTCAGCCTGTACTTTATTGTCCATATCAATATCAACAATTTGATCAAAGCCATTCAACAAGTCTCTACAAAGTTCCAAACTCCCCCACGTATTTCTGTTTTCTGAGCCCTCCAAGTCTCTAGGAAGTTCCAAACTTTTCCACATTTTCTTATCTTCTCCTGAGCTCTCCAGACTGTTTTAACCTCTGCCTGTTACCGAGTTCCAAAGTTGTTTCCACATTTGCAGGTAACTTTACAGCAGTACCCCACTACCTGGCACCAATTTACTGTATTAATTCATTCTCATGATGCTAATAAAGATATACCAAAGACTGGGTAATTTATAAAGGAAAAAGGTTTAATTAACCCACAGTTCCAAATAGATGGAGAAGCCTCACGATCATGGTGTAAGATGAAGGAGGAGCAAAGTCACATCTTACATAGTGTCAGGCAAAGAGAGAGTGTGCAGGAAAACTCCCCTTTACAAAACCATCAGATCTCATAAGACTTATTCACTAGCAGAAGAACAGCATGGGAAAAACTCACCACCATGATTCAATTATCTCCAACCAGTTTCCTCTCATGACATGTGGGAATTATTGAAGCTACAGTTCAAGATGAGATTTGGGTGGATACATAGCCATATCATAACAGAATATATCACCCATTGCCTTATATGCAATTCATTTGAAGTATTTAGTGGTGATAATTTAACTATAGGCCATGCATGCCATGTACTACCAGTCCCCACTTTTCTACTGCAAACATTAACACCAATGCCTTAAACCTAAGCAAGTTTTCATGCATATAATATAGTAAGAGACCTATTATATTTTTATACATGCAATATTGGGAGTTAGTTAAGTGGTCTCTGTAAAGCTACTGACTCTGAGTATGATGTTGGAACTGAAGTCTACAATCAGGCAGTTTGGAAAGAAAGAAGGATTAAAGTAGTGGAAAGCAAGAACATATTAGAACCCAGAAGCATGTGCTGGAACCCATGAGGGCTAATTGAAACTTTGTGCCTGGAACCTTTGGAGTATGAGTATCACTTCTGCCCCCCAAAACTCACACAAGAATTTCTATTGTGTCCCAGTGTAACATGAAAGAAAATTTTGGAAAATAATCTCAGCGTAGTCAGCTTGACAGATTTCAATGCAAAGCCACCATAATATCATTAAATAGTATGTCCTCTCCACTTCTAGGAAAAATAGTTGAAATTTCTCTCCTTTTAGGAACTTCTACCTAAGAATGCAAAACAATATTTGTTTATTCCATGTGTCTGGCACTCAACATATGCAAACTTTAAAATTTTATAATGTATATCCTTAGAAATACATAAATTTGGAATTGTTTTTAATATGTAGCTTTAAAAACTAATATGTGGTTATTTTAGTCACAAGCATTGAAAACTGGTTCTACCTGACTTACGTTGCAAGAAATATTACTTCTCATGAACCTCAACTTTTCCATGAATTCCAAAAGCATCACAAATATTTTGTTTAAATTGTAACACTTTTTAGTATGGCATGTGGTGAGTTTGATATTCAAGAGATTGCAATGCAAAAGGAAAAGTCACATGCACATAGAATTCTAGGAAGCAACAGAGGCTATAATTAAGTAACCTGGCAATGAACAAAAAAATCAGGAAAAGAACTTTCCCAGGATCTGGAATCAGATTCCCAGGATCTGGAATCAGAGTTTTACAATGGTGCTATCAAGATCTCTCAAGGTCTGAAAGAACCGGATGATATCTAGGTTAAGTATCATATGTGAATGAAGTTGGTTTGCATTTTTATTTTTTTATTTCATTTGTATAGCTAGTAATCAATCTTCTAATTATAATTATGTCTTAAATTGAGGTGATTTCAGAGAATTTCTAGACACTGTTTTCATTTCAATAAGAGATATTTCATGAAGTTTCAAAAACATTGGTTATGCAGAATTTCACTTTGTTCTATTACCATTAAGAGATATTCACACTCTTAAATTTAGAATTTTCAGCACCTGCCTTCATGAGCAGGATATAATAAAAACAATATTCTTGTCCTGAAAATACTGGACTGTGCTAAATGGAACTAATATGAGAACAAATTTGAGAAGTTTCCCGAGGGCAAGTCAGAGAAATTAAAGCATTGGGTAGTTAGTTTCAGCACCATCCAGGCTGTATAGGAGGCATTCAAAGATAAAAAAACAAAATGATAAATTGTAAGTTAGAGACCAGGTAAAATGTATGACGTCTAAAACCTATGACGAGATAAGAGCAAATTAGAAAAAGGAGAGTTAATACAGTAAGCTGCTTCTCCAGCGATAAAATTGAAAAAGCTCTTCAAGTATTTTCCACATTCCTTTATCTCCTAGTACATTCATTAACTCAGATCAATAAGGCTTTACTAGAAAACAATCCACATTTAACATTATTTGAAATGATGTGTTTATATATTCTATGCCTGAGAAAATGTTGAAATGTATTGTTTGGGTTTAAATCATGTAGAATCCAAAATGTTTTCATTGAATTGTGCCATCCTTTGTTTTTTTCTTTCTAGAATGAAAGCTACAGATATTGTCATTTAAATAACACTATTTTAAAACAATGTCTTCTGCTTTTCAGGAAATTTTACAAAGTGTAAGAACTTATCTCTAACCTCACTTTTTTGAAGATATAATTAATATTCATTAATTTGAATATATGGTTCTACATTATCACACATATTCTGATAGATATCTTGATAAAATGTATTCAAAATTAGTGGTAACACCAAAATTTAAAATGCTATATTTAAAAAACAATTACTTTAAATGCTATCTGGAAGTAGTTTGACGACTTTTTGAAACTATGGAAATTCATTTTATTAAACTTAAGTTCATACTCATAATACACCAAACCAAATAAAATGTGTAGAATTCAAATAACTTTATATTAAGGTGCTTTGGTTTAATTCACTAGGTCAACTTAAATAAATTTCTTATAATTATTTTATAGTCATATGTCAATATATTCACTAAAATAAATTTGTTTCCACAAATAGCGAAAAGCCCAATTTCAGCCTTGACTTTTCTGAAATTCTCACATTCAGTATTTCAGAATGGTCTGAATTAATGAGTCATTTTTATGGTATAACTCTGAAAAATACATTAAAATGATTAATGTATTAAAAACTTAGGAGGGAGCTAGTGTCATAAAAAGAACTTAATACTTATTTCTAATAATAAATAATTCTCTCAACTGCTGAATTTTCAGCTCAATACCTTCTCAGGAAGATGTCAGAATGAAGCATTAAGGTTTGCTCCATTCCATCAGAATGGGAATACAGGGGCAATCTCAAGAAAAAAGGAACCAGAGGGATCAATAAAGCTCCACAGGATGGCTCCACAGAGAGCAGAGTGGAGTTAGGGCACTTATTATGAGCTCTTATGACAGGCTAGACATTTTAAACATATTTTTTCATTTAGTTTTCACAACAAAACTGTGAATTTCCTTAATGTAAACGTGAGAATGTGGCTTAGAAAGCTTAAATAACTTACAGAAAAAGGCCAATTAAAATTAGTTAAGCTGGAATTAGATCACAGATTTGTCTGAAGCAGCTGCTCAAAGCATGACCTGTGGAGCAGCAGCGTGACCATCACCTGGGAGCTTTGATAATGCCTATATTAGTCCTATTTCTGATATACTGAATCACAGTCTACGGGGGTGAGACTCAGGAATCTGTTTTAGCTAGGTTTCTAGGTGATTCTTACATACACTACAGTTTTCAAACACACTGCCCATTAACACAGGTGACTTCAAATTGGGCTACTACTTGTTCACTATGTCCTACAAATGACTAAACTCTATATATCATTCCGTTATCTTTTAACAAAGTAAAAAAATAAATATTCTTCATGCCTTTCTTAAAAGACTCAAAAAACCCTATATCCTGAAAAGTGATACAAAATATAAAATACTGAAATGTACTATTTATATCAATTATAATTAGTATAATCATTTTAAAATCACCATGTATGCAATATTTGTTGGTTAAATACTATTTGAAGAAAGAAGGAAAAATTAATATTCCTCCATCTTACTATTTCATTATCTGTTTTAGCACAGGGGATGAAAATCAAAAGCTACTAGCAGTTGCCCTTGACTACAATAGCAACCATGACCTTGTAAACACGAATTTTGCCATTTTAGTGTTTGCTTTCTCATATTTAGAAAGATAAACAATTAGCTTCCTCAGGCCATTAAAATAATACCTGGGGGTGAATTGTTCTGTTTTGGGAGAACAAGAGTTTTGGATCTTAGGAAAGCATGCTTCTAGGTCAATGGCAGTGCTAGGAGTTGGAATTCATCATTTATACTTTAATTTAACGGCAGGTTTGAGTCAGCTATAGAAACTCAACATTCAGAAACGTGATCTGTCAGAAGCGGAATAACA